TAATGTGGTATTTTACATTCTTTTTGTACTAAGTCTTTAAATTCAGTGTGTATTTTACACACATAGCAAATCTCAGTTTAGAGTAACCACGTTTCAAGTACTCAATAGCTATATGTGACTAAGTGGCTGTCATTTGGATAGCATGTATGTAGAGAGAATGACTCAACTACAGGCTACTGTCAAATGCAAGCCTATTGTCACATCATCTCATGTTTCCCCCCTCCCCAAGAGACATAGTCTGGTTAGCTACAACTTTTGCTTTTTTACCACCAGTTAGTTCATACACAATTGGTAAATTGGAGAATGACATCAATATAAACTGAAGTTGTGTTGGTTCATGTGTGAAATTGTTTTTTTCTGGACAAGGAGAATCAGAATAGCAGGAGTAGGGTTATAACCTTCAAATAGAAAGGACAAAGCCCTCAACCAGCTGTTACACTGGCAAGACCCCCAAAGAAAAGTCAAGTCTCTTCCCCTAGCCTTGCGTGGCTCTGTGGCCAGTTGCACCTTCTCCACTTCTCGTTTTAACTGTAGCCTCAGTGCTCAGAGCTTTACTCCCATGTTCTCAGCCCCAGCAAGCCACATTTCTGTCCTAATGTTTTTTTGCATTTTTAACATCCCCTGAAACAATCCACAACCATGCTGAGCTGCTTCCTGTGCTGTCCAAGTTTGTGTTAGTGCTCTGGGTGTAAGAAAGTTGCATAATTTTGAGTGATTTGCTCCTACTCTTTTTTTTCTCATAAGATTTGTTTCTAGTGTGCCATTTTGCAGAATTCAGGGTTTTTCAGGAAGACATCCGTCTTGTGGCAAAAATACCCATTGCAGATTTATGGCTTTCTTTGTGAAATCCCCTTATTTTTAATTGTTTGTGGTCTCTGGTTTTGGAGTGATTAGAGGAGGAACAAAGACAATGGAAGGGAATATACAGAATTAAGTATGGCCCAGATACTGACCACACCAGAACCATCTTGAGAGTGTTTATTAAAAATTCAGATCTTGGAGTCCCATTCCATATACTGTGAATCAGAATCTCTGTGAGATGCAACCTAGAAGTCGACATTTTTTAATTTAATGGAAGTTCGTGATCCACTGCCAAACCTTATTCAGTCATACCTATTATCTGCTTTAATTAGTTTGAAAACAAGCTTGGGGTGGTATATGTCCTTGAAATCTTTCATTTAGTATTATAGATATACCTTATCTGTTCCTTCTAGTTATTTGTAAAGGGCATTAAGATTTAATCTCTAAGTCTAAGGATCTGGTAGTGAATTTTCATGGTTGTCATGTCTGAATAAGGACATAAATGCCGTAATATTTTGCCCCTGAGTAGAGTGAAAACTGTTGTTTCACCTTTTGGAAAGCTGGTTGCATTTCCCAGCTTTGTTTGATCATATAGAACTGTATATACTTCCTGCTTTCCCTCTTATTTCCAAGTTCCCTTATCTAAATGAGAGGCAGTCTAATTGCTTCATGCTGAGCAATCTTGCTGAGTCAGGTGTGTTTCACTACATTTTTTGGCCTGTTTCCCAGAGTACTCTTCTAGGGTTCTGTCTTTCTCAGATTGTAGGTTATGTCCTCCTCACCCTTACAGTCTGGCTTCTCAAGTTTTGATGGATGCCGAGTAGGGGTTATTCTGCCTTTTAAATATTGAAGATTCTGTCACGGAAAAGGTTATCTTGCATTGTTATATTAACTACTTAGATTAGCATCTAGCCCAGTTGGCACACTTTTTCTTAAAGAGCTGGATAATAAATATTTTCATCTTGTAAGCCACACAGTCATTGTCACAATTAAAAAGCAAAAGTAGCCATAGATAATACTTAAATGATTGGCTGCAGCTGTGTTCTCATAAAACTGTGTTAATAAAAACATACCCAGCAGGTTGTAGGTGGCTGACCCTTGGATTCTAGTCTGATACCAGCATCCAATCATGTTGTTACATCTCCGTTTCATATCTGCCTTTGGTTAAGCACTGGCAGGAGAACTTTGCTCGCCCTCTAGATTCTTCAGGCTGCAAGCATAAACATATAACCCCTTTATTCCCACCACTCCCCCCCAAAAAAAACCCCAAGTAATTCTTAATAGCACCCCTTTCTTAGAAACCTTTAAAACTTGCTTCATCAATCCTAATTTTAATTTCTCAAGGTTGGTTTAAATGTGTGTCATTTAAAACCAGTTTTATCCCACTTATCTATAAATACTATTTTTCTCAAGGTGCTGTTTTTTTTCTCTTTGAAGTAGTGAGTGTTTTTCTTGGTAATGTACAGAGAGCACAAAGGGCGGTCAACCATAGAAACAGCTTTTGCTTTCATTACTTTGTTGGGCCAAACAGCATCCATGAGATTATCTCTCACCAGTATTTATGTTATCTTCCTTAGTGCACTTGAATAATCGCTAGATTGAGCATAAACCTTCTGAGTTCAAGCTTTATGCACGACTCTCCTCTGCTCCGGATATGTTACCACCCGCAAATCACTTACTCTTTTGCTCAGCCTTAGACTCTACATTACACTACTAATATAAAAAACTTATGTTCTTATCCTGAAACACACAGGTTCATCATGGGGTAGAATACAAAACTTCACGTGAGTTTTTAAGATAAGATAGATTTCAAAGAAACATTGTGTTGTAGCACTTCCTGTAGGTATGGCTCTGGAAAGTCATAACCAGCACCACCATCATTACTGTGACCCTGGGGATGATAGTATGAATGGTAGCTTTCATTATAGAGAGTTAGCTTTGTTGAGCTTTCTGTAGTCATGTTATTCAGGGGCAAATCTGCCCTCCCTTTACTTCTTAAGCACATTCTTCTGGCTGGAATCTAAAGTTCTGTTGGCCTGCTTTACCGTAACATGCTTTCTATAAAACCTCTTTCACTTAGTTTTGGATTCTATTTAAGAATGTTTTTAGTCTTTGACTAAAATATTGTATCTTAATCTTGTTCCTCACTTCCTTTTTTTTTTTTTTGGTGAGAAAGATTGGCCCTGAGCTAACATCTCTGCCAGTCTTTTTTTCTTCTTCTTCTTCTTCTCCCCAAAGCTACCCAGTACATAGTTGTATATCCTAGTCATAGGTCATTCTGGCTTTGCTATGAGGGACACTGCCTCAGCATGGCTTGATGAGTGGTGTCATGTCTGCACCCAAGGATCTGAACCAGCAAAACCCTCAGCTGCCGAGGTGGAGTGTGCAAACATAACCATTTAGCCACAGGGCCCTCCCCTAAAAAAGTTTTTGTCACATCTGAAAAGTGCAAATTTCAGCATAGATCTAAAGTTTTCTTTAAAATTTGGAGTTTATTTTTTCTTTGTTTCTGAGTGTGTTGGAGTCCTCAGCCCACCCCTGGATTCAGTGGTTCTCTAAGAGGACTTGCAGGTCTTTGAATCTGCTTCTAGCTTCCCTTGTAAGCCAGCCCCTAGCCAACGTTATATCTTCGCCATTGCCTTTTCTCTTTCCATACACTTACTTCATTCTGACTCATATTGGTTATTTACTATATGCAAGGTGAAGTTAGAGTCCCCGTCTTTCACCTCTAATGGAAGAGACTCCCAAATCCACTTCTGAATTCTTAGTTCTACATAAATCTGCTGACCATTTCCACTTGGATATCTAAAACCTTATAGTCATCTTCTGTCTGTCCCAGTTCACCTTTCTTATCCATCTAGTTTTCCCTGTTGATTGAAATAGTTTCAGTTCAGTTTTTTAAGTTTCAGTTGTTAGTTTTGCTAAGTGGTCTAGATTAATTATTTCATAGAATGTGGAATGCTTATTTATTTCTGCTCATAACAACTCTGGTTCTGACTTCTAACTAACTGCTGGACCACTGGACCATTTAAATTGCTCTTCCCACTTCCAGTTTTTGTTCATTATAGTGTAGCCTCCATACCATTGCTAGCTAAGTTAAAAAAAAAAAAAAAAAAAAAAAAAGTTGGGGCTGGCCCCGTGGCCGAGCGGTTAAGTTCGCGCGCTCCGCTGCAGGCGGCCCAGTGTTTTGTTAGTTCGAATCCTGGGCGCGGACATGGCACTGCTCATCAGACCACGCTGAGGCAGCGTCCCACATGCCACAACTAGAGGAACCCACAACGAAGAATACACAACTATGTACCGGGGGACTTTGGGGAGAAAAAGGAAAAAATAAAATCTTTAAAAAAAAAAAAAAAAGTTGAATTATGTTATCTTGATGCTGAAAAATATGTGAAATGAAATTGAAATACTAACAATTAGACTTTTGTGGTGAACCTTTTTGTATTGTTAAAGTATTTTTGCAAAGTTAGATTTTTATACCTTGGCTTTTCTTAAGACAGTAAAAACTATTATCCCTGATGGTCTCTGAAATGCATAGGATATTCATAAAATTTGAGTCGCTTTAAAGCAAGTTTTAGGTAGAGTTGGGCTGTTATTAGGAGACTTGACATCATTTTCTTTGTCTTAAAAGCGAACACCTTCCCTGAGACTTAACTTTTTGAGAAGTTGATACTGTTTTAATTGAAAAATTGGCAAAACTATTAAAAAACAAGGGGTGGAGACTATTCAAGAAATAGAAAAATAATTGCAAAAACATAGGATCATTGTGACTTTTAGTTCTGTATCAGTTGAATTTTTGTGGCATTTTTCTCTGTGTACGTTGTGTTTCTGTCTTTCCCTAAAAAACTTTTATTCTAAAAACACCTACAAGTTGCTAGAAATGATATAGATGAGGTTTTGCTTATCTATTATAATTAACATAGTTCCATAGGTTTTCTTTTTTATGTTATAAATAACATAATTCCATGAAATTCCATGTTTCATAGGTTGTCATTCATGTAGTACGTGTGCTCTCTAAGCCATATCTTTAGTAGACTTAGAAATACTTTATATAAGTAGTATGAATATGTATATATTTCTGATGCTCATGTGAAAAATGATGTTTTAGGGATATACAGTGATCTGTAGTATGATAGAAACCAGTTTAAATTAAACATGAAATATAACTTATAATTCACTTTGCTCTTTATTTTTTTAAGGGACCAGTTACTCTCCACAAGAAAACTCACACAACCACAGTGCTCTTCATAGTTCAAATTCACATTCTTCTAATCCAAGCAATAATCCAAGCAAAACTTCAGATGCAGTAAGTATATAAACTTAAAAAGTATGTAAATTTTGGAATTTATTGTGAAAAAAACCCTCACAACAAGTCTTGTTAAATCTAATATCTTTTCTTTAAAAAAGCTTTTAACCAAATTTGACCTTTTCTTAATGTATTTGAACTAATGAGCTAACCTTATTATAGAACTGAGGTTAGGCAGAAGATACCATCTTGGTATTCATCAGAGCAAAATTTTACCATAGGAATAACTGAGATATAAAGTGAAACTGCTGTAGTTACTTAAAGTGGTTTAACTTGAGCTTGCTCTTTCCATTACATATAAGCTTCCTCGAGCATATAGTTATTGAGCACTCTGCTAGACCCAAGTGATAGAAGGTCCCTGTCCTCAAGGGCATGAAACCCAATTAGGAATTTTAGATATTTCTAAAATGAAGTAACTGTTAATGAAGTAGCTGCTATTACTTAGTTTGAGTTTTTTTAAGTCAAGGTTCAAATGAAAGTTCTGATACATTTATTTATTCAGCAAGAATTTAATAGGGTTTCAATTTGCCAAGCATATGCTAGGTTGTAGATACATAGAACTAGCAAAATGTGGCCCATCTTAAAGGAGCTTTTGGGCCTGTGGTGGAGTCTGAAAAGTAAAGAAAACAGTGCATGTTAAAGTTGCTTTTGGGAGCTTCAAGAGTGGGCCTCCCACCTTGGATGAGGAAGGTATGAAAGTATACGTAATGATACCCAACAGCTTGGATATGACTTAGCCAGTTGAGGAGGTCTACAATTTGTGCAGCATGTAAAGGAACAGCACCTGCAAAGACATGGAAGTGTGAAAAAGCATAGCATGTTCGGAGAACTTGCAAGGATTTTCATAGTGTGGAAAAATGGCAGGAGGTCAAGTTATAGGGATAAGTGGGGACCAGACGACAAAGAGTTGTATATCTTGCCAAGGAATATGAATTTTATATAAAGGCAATGGAGAGCTATTGAAGGATGAAGTTGGTGAAGTAACATCATATTTGCATTTTAAAAAATTATGTTAGATAGCAATGTGGAAAATACGTTATAGGAAGGAAAGAACAACTAGAAGGCTAGGGAAGTGTAGGTTGAATCCAACAGATTTTGCCTTGGATATTTGGGTGATCATCATACCTTAATTGGCATTGAAAACCCTCAGAGTTTATTGTTTCTTGTCCCTTGTTGAAGCAGTGTGGATAGTATATTTACATAGAAAATTGAGACATCAATAATAACATTATCATAAAAATAAATTTAGCGTAGTTTTAAAGATAGCGTTAATCAAGGTCTAGAGTACACAGAAAATTTCATATACAGAATTGGTTAAGCAGATACTGCAGGTATTAAGGACTGGAAAAACAAAAGGGAACACTGAGGTAACACATATATGGTGATTACCCCTTAGGGCTGGGAAATAAAAGGAAGAGTTTGGGATTATCAGAACCTAAGAGCTTAGATGAGGAACCCTACAGAGCTGGTGATAGTACTTCTGAGTGGTATGATGATGCTAGTTCTGGTCTGGAGTGGATAGCAGAGAGCTGGAAACTGAAACCAACTGTGGCTGCTAGGCTTCTCCTTTCCCTGCCTTCCAGTCTTCCTCTAATGCCTACTGTGTATTGACAGAATCTAACAGAAGGTCACCTGGCTAAATAGAATGTAATTTGCATTATCCCAGCCCTGCATCAGGAAACAGAATATAGAAGGGTAGTGTTGAGGCTGATACAACAGCTTGATAAACCTTCACAGGTGTTACCATCAAACTCCTTGTGATGAGTCATGTTCAATAAAACATGTACTCAAGATTTTAGAATGAATATCTCTGTTTTTGTGAAAAATGGACCCATTAAAATGGCGCTAACGTGAAGCTCCATTTATCACTGACAGTTCACATTTGGTATTTGTCTGCTGAAAAAATTCCTTATTCAAGGAAAACAGATTCTGATTATTTTGATTTTCAAGAAATGGATTAACATAGTAAAATCAGAAAGAACAAATAATAAGCATCAGATAAGCTTGAAAGACCGAAACCATAAAGGGTGTCAGGGGATTTCATTATGTGACTGGAAACTGAAGATCATTACCAGAATGGATTAAATGTTAGGTGTTTTCAGAATTGGTTTCCCTGTCTGTAGATTTCAACTGTTGTGTGTAATTAACCTCCAAGTAGTGGTCTCTTTCATTATTCTGTATTCACTGGGCATGACACATCATATGTCATTTACAAACTAATTTAATCTTACCTGGGAAGTCGGCTTTTGAACATTTCTGAAGGTTACTTGTAAACTGACTTTTTCTTTGTCTTAAAATCACTTCCAGTAGAATTTTTTAGGTAGTAAGTAAAACATAAAAGTCCCTTTCATCTAATATTTTCATAATGAAAGAATAAATAGATGAATATCAGGTAACCAAGGTTAAGACGTTATTTTAGCCCAGGTTAAAATAGGGAATAGCTTTTTTAAAAAGTGAGTTTTTTTCTCTTTGAGGTTTTCACATTTTAAATCTTTCTTGGGAAATCAGTAATAATATTAGAGTTATCTACACAGACATTTGGTTGTATGGGTGATTTATATTTATGTATATTTATCAAGTGAACTGTTGAAAGGTGAGTTGAAATTACCATATTTTTTCAGTATTAACGTTAAGACATTCACATGTAGTTCCCTGCTAAGTCCTATGATGAACATTTATTGTTGTTTAACACAGAGCCTTGCTCATGGTAAATATTTAGGAAAAGCTTCTTGAATGCCTCCTTTTTCCTAATCTAAGTCATGATAGGACTTAGAGATGTTACGTAGACTGTTTTAGATTAGTTATTCGTATTTGTGGGTTTTTTTTTTTTAGAGGCCTCTGAATTGAGTGTCTTCATTTAGGAAAAAATATTTTATTTCTACTTACAGACATTATAATTGGAATCTTTCCTTCTAAGTATCCTTCGCCAATTTTGATTTGCTTGGAAGTGCTTTAAATTCAGTCCTAGATAAGTTTGCATTTATATTCCAGTTCCTTTTGTTATCAATTAAATCTTTTGCATGTTTTGTAGCCAAGTTTGAGGCCCTTAGAATCTGTTCTTTGTAAGCAGTCTTGCCTGAAGATATTCTATTTAATTTTAAAAAAATAGAAATTTATCAGAGAACTCTTAGGATGCCATGAAATTTTTTGTTACAGCGAATGCCATCTTTGATGCTGTTATTTAATGAACTATTCTTTATTAATAATTCATAAATTAATTCCAGGATTGTTTCTTTTCCATAGTTTAACTTAGAAAAGAAGTAATGGGACTCTGTATTTCAGGGAGAGAGTGGAAAAGTAGATGCTTTTTTTTTTTAAGAAGAGAAAAGCAGCATTCATATAAGAGTTTTAAAAGACATTTTGAATTGAAGGAGAGCAGATAGGTGCCTCAGTAACTGTTTAGTGCTGTTCTTTTGGAGCAACCATTTTCATACTTTTTAGTCTCAAGACCTCTCTATTCATGAAAATTGGGAGCTTTTGTTTATGTGGACTCTGTCATCAGCATTTACCATATTAAAAATTAAAACTGATAAATTTGAAAAATAATTCATTTAAAAATCAGTTATAAACCCATTACATGTTAGCATATGCAGTCTATTTTTATGAAAAATAACTATTTCTAAAAACATCAGTTTCTCTTTAATGCTCGACTCAATAGAAGGTACTTATAATTTCATATCTGCTCTGCAGTCAGTCTTTGTGATATCAAATCTGTACAGCTTCTGAGAAAACCCCACTGTGTTCTTGTGATAGCTTGAGGAGAAAAAAGACAAAATTGTCTTAGTATTATTATGAAAATAGTTTTGATCATGTGAAATGGTCTCGGGATCCTTCAAGGGTTCCTGGACAACAGTTGGAGAGTTGCTGCCTTAGAGCATGTGTTGGCGACTACATCAAGCCCAGTTTAGAAACCTTGAAATGTTTGCAGGCCTTTTGTTTGTTCTTAGTTTTAGATATTCTTTTTTTAAAATCAAGAAATTGAACACCTGAGGATCTAATGTATAATACGGTAACAATAATTGATAACACTGTATTATATAGTTGAAATTTGCTAACAGAGTAGGACTTACATGTTCTCACCAAAAAGAAGGTAAGTATGTGAGATGATGGATGTGTTAATTAACTAGATGAGTGGAATACTATCACAGTGTATTTGTATATCAACTGATCACTATGTACATTTTAAATATCTTATTTGTCAATTATACCTCAGTAAAACTGACAAAACCGTGAAGAGAAATTTAACACTTCCTGTTGCACATCAGCATTTAAAAAATTACCCCATTGCTTAAACGGGTTCCCCCGCCATAACCTTTTTTGAGGATGGAAGCGGGGTGGAGAAGATAAGCTAAAGTTACTGGTGTGTGATTGTAATCTTGTGCTCTGGAACACATTTCATTAAGTAAGACGTTAACTTGTACTGACCCAGGATTTGATAAGCAAAATTAGTGCAGTGTTGTAGACCCATGCTGTTCAGAGTTCTGATGTGTGAACTTCTAACTATCCTGGAGGTTGTGCCAAAATGTAAATTGTGTTGTTAAATACACTGTTTGGTTGAGCTGAATTTCTTCGTTTTCATAAAGCAAGACTTTGTGGCGAGGGAAGCAGTGTGTTGAATACATATTCTGATGCAAACTCCTTACCTCTTCTAGGACAGGTAACAAGAGCATTGGTCTTGACCACTCTGCTCTACTCTTGATGTCTTCTGTCTGCCTGCTTCAAATCTTATTCTGTCTTCAGACCTGTCCAGTAATCCCATATAACCCCTTGCCAAGTAAACCAAATCTTCTAGATACATCCACAGAAGGTCTCAGTTTGCATAATAATATAGGTTTAGGGAGTGGTTGGTGGTAGAGAAGAACTTTGTGAATTTGGGCTTCTCGAAATGGGTCCCTGCAGCTTGGTGTAGCCTACTTCTGGAAACTAGGGGGATTGAGAATTAACTCTCCATTGATTTTAGAGGTTTGGAGGCAGAGGACTGATTTCCAATAGCTTCATTTTCTTGGGACGTAAACCCGAGAGCATAAACATATGGCAGAATCTGTAGTATTTCTTTAGCTACCCTCAAAATTATAACGACGTTTCCAGAGTTGGTGTTGATTTAGTGTATTAAATAATGGGCATCTGGAAACCTGAGTTTTGATCCTTTCTTCTGCCATTAACTAGTTTTGTGACCTGTGGACAACTCGTAAGTTCTGTTCTCTCAGCTCATTTACTACTTGGTAAAATTAAAACTGAGTAGCCAGGGCATAAGAGTTCTTTTCCTCAAGTTTTTTTTTTGTTTATTTTTGGGTTTTTTTTTTTTTTTGGTAGATATACACTCTGGTGAACCCAGAAGAAAGACTACCAGAGTATAGCATTGTTTCATTTTAATCTCAAAGCTCTTTTGAAAAAATAGTGCCCTTCATCTAGAAGTATACTTGGGATTCTACCAGTTTTCCTGGGACCTGTGCAGGCACTTAAACTTGACCCTTTTTGAGATGAGTGCCATGAAAACTGAGACTTGCAGATTTTTCTAATTTTATTATAATTTTATAGTGCCTATAAAATACCTTAAGGAGACTGTATCTGAGAACTTGTGAAGACCAGTTTTAGTTACAGGAAAAATGAGTGATGCTGCTGATCCTATATGTTTTGTGAGATAAGGTTTAGTTAATACTTGACCCATCTCATGGATTTTGAATGTGAAACAAATTTATAGTTTTTAATTAGCTTTGTGTTTACATTAAAAAAAGTTTTTGTGCATTTTTCCACCAAGTAGCAGTAAATACAGGCAGGTTGTTGTTTGTTACACTGTTTGTGATTACTTTTGTGCCTTAGAGAGTTTGGAAGTGATGTGCTCTCATACCGTCGAGTCACTTGAGAGTGGGTTCCCAGCAACCCCTCCCCACGTGACTGGATTTCAGCAGTTAAAATTAGGATAATGGGGAACTTTCGTAATGCTTTTCTAAATTCAAGATGCTAATTTTGCATTTTTCTTCCTGTGCCTAATTAATATTTATTACTCTGTTTAATTTGATGTTTTATAGGGTTTTCCATTGTTATCTTTGAAAGTTTTTTAGACCAAGGTTGTCTAAGATATATATGCAGATAATTGCATCCTAGGTCGGGGCACCTTTATCTCATAAGTCTTTTGCCATATGTATGCTTTGAAAGCCGTTGATATTCTTGATATTTTATATCAAGTGGTTAGATAGTATTAACATTTTCTAATTTTTAAAAATATATTTTTAAGCCTTATGATTCTGCAGATGACTGGTCTGAGCATATTAGCTCTTCTGGGAAAAAATACTACTACAATTGTCGAACAGAAGTTTCACAGTGGGAAAAACCGAGAGAGTGGCTTGAAAGGTATTTACTCTTAATATAATTGAATAATATTTCTTGTTCTTGATTTACAGGTTAACACCTTAGAACATTAAACATTCTAAGTTTAATTGCAGTGGTTGGCCCATTGTCTGTCTTTTCCATAATTTCTCTTTACCTTAAAAAACAAAAGATGAAAAAAAATACAGGACAGATAAGTAACTGTCCACAAGGGCCTTGTGAACAGTCTGTATATTTTTAATTAAAAAATTTATATTAGTCTACATTTATGCATGTCCCTTATAATAATTTATAAGAGAAATTTTTATATTTCTTGTCAGACAATAGTATGTTTCCATTATATATGTAGAATTAATATTACAGAGGTTTGGTTGTAGGGTTAATGGCATATAAATAATTGGTAAAGTGTTGCCTTCAGTGAGAAACATTCATGTTTGCTCCATCCCATCTCCCACACCAGTTAAATGATATGACCATGTTCCCTTCTTCTGAGCGTTTGGCTGAAAGTGTTATATGTAGACTCATTGTACCTCATTTAATTTTTATGGGTTTATCTATTTTTGATTTTTAGAGAACAGAGGCAAAAAGAAGCAAACAAGCTGGCAGTTAATAGCTTCCCAAAAGATAGAGATTACAGAAGAGAGGTGATGCAAGCAACAGCCACTAGTGGGTTTGCCAGTGGAAGTAAGTATTTAATGTTTTTCTTTGAAACAGTATAAGGTTTGATTCATTTTTGTAGTTCATTTGCTTTACAAATCAATATGCATAGCCATTGACATGTGTCAACTAAAATAAGTAGAAATATATAGGGTTTCTTTTATGTTGGGTCTGTCCCCCCACCTTTCACCATTTGTTTGCTAAGATGGGAAAGGGTACACGATGGAGTGGTACACATGTGTTCATCGCTACCCATAATGGCTATAATGCAGTTGAGTTGGTGAAAAATAAAATTTCATGTTGGGGGTTGACTTCTTTTGTTTTTTGGAGAGGAAGGTTGTCCCTAAGCTAACATCTGTTGCCAGTCTTCTCTGTTTTGTATATGGGATGCTGCCACAGCATGGCTTGATCAGTGGTGTGTAGGTCTGTGCCTGGGATCTGAACCTGTGCCCCCTGGGCAGCCAAAGTGGAGCACAGAAATTTGACCACTCTGCCCCCTGGCTGGCCCCTGGATTGACTTCATTCTAAAACAAGAGCTTTCTTCCTGCCCCCCCCCCCCCGAATTATGTCCTGTTAAACTACTGGACACTGAAATCCCATCCAAAACTCCCTGGGTGCCAATCTAATAATTGAATTGTAGCCATGCACAGATAGGGACATCAAAGTACCTGTTGGTGTTTTGTGTTAGCAGTGAGAAACTTGTTTATCCTTATATTCGAAAACTGATTTCACCATGATCATAGATCTGTGTAACATCTCCATGCTGTGTGCACACCTGAATGTTCTTCTGAGGCTAGATTTTGTCCAAGTGGGACAATATGGGTAGCATACGTTTGTGTTTTAATTCAAATTAAATTTGAACTTGAAACTTTTACTAAACGTATTCTATTCCCAGTGGCTTCCTTTGTCCAGGATAAAATTTAGATGTCACATAGAGTTCTTAGACTCTTTATCAAATTATGAAATTTTGAGAACAATTTTAAGATGTGTTCTTGGAATTCTTAGGCTTAAGTGTTGGAATTCTCCTCCTCTAACTCAAAAAGTAGAGAATGTATTTGGTCTCAGCAGAGGATATTGATTTATATTAGTGAAATGGTACTTAATTCTTAGAAAACAAAATCTTTTAAAGTACTGAAGTCATAAAATTAAGAATATTGTATTTTGAGACAGAAGACTTAAGTTCTAGTCCCATTTCACTTAATATCTTAAGTAACTGACTTTGGCAAACTATTAAAGATGAGATACTGGTTTTACTCTCCAAGTTAGAAAAAAAAGAAAAGAATGCCACCCAGCTTGTGGGCCTCCTGAACAAATTGGGGGAGGAGTAGCAAGAAAAAATAGCAAATGGGTGTAAAAATAATTTTTTTTTAGTTCTTAGGCCAGGCCTCTCCACTTATTGGCTAATAGTTCTGAGAGAGGAAAAAGATCACAGCCTAGTATGTCTACTTTATTCTTTCCCACATAACCTATCATTTAAGTCACCTCTCTATTGGAGTAGAGTAAATGATGGGGGGGAATTAGAAATCTTATAGAAATACTGATGGAAGTAAAAATATTATTTTTGTCTTTTTAATAAGCCATCTTGAAGGAAATAAAATCAGAATTGTGTTTTTAAATTATTTGTACATCTTTTTCTTTCAAAAACAAAGAAAAACATAGGTGAGTTTTTTTCTTTGTGATTTCAAAAGCAAGGGATATTTGTTATTGAAAAGGTAAGAAGAAGGAAAAATTTTTAATCTCATGACCCAGAACATTTGCAGACTTACACTTTTTTCTATCTGTACATAAATGTGTATAAAAATTACATATTTATGTATTTTACACCAAAAATGAGAGATACTACTGTTTTTAACCTTTGTTTTGTTCAGTAATATTTCAAGGATATGCTTCCCTGTTAGTTTATAATTCTGCACTTGTTATATTGACTGCATGGTATTTCATTTTTTCCATGTGCCTTCATTTATAAATAATTCTCTATCCATGGATACTTGGGTGTTTTAGCCTTTTCTTACTGTAAACAATGCTGTGATTCCTATTTCTGCGCACTTAGCTGATTACTTCCTTAGCTGAATTTCTAGAAGTGCAGATGGTGAGTCAGTGCATCTGTCATTGTGTTGAAATGTAGTCATGTATCACACTTTTTGAGTTTTAAGTAATGTTTGAGAAAGTACCTTAGCTATATTGCTGCTTTTTTTTTTAAATTGGTCAACCGAGCTATACTTGTTGTGGTAGTAATAAAGTCACTAAGCCATTTAAGTGCTTCACTTTGTGTATTCAAAAAATGTTGGCAGAGTTTTCCCATATGTTTAGTACCTTGGTGTTCATATAGGGTAAACCTTAAGGTTTGTGGTTCCTAACTGCCAACAAAAGAAGAGTGTGTGTGTGTGTGTGTGTGTGTCTGTCTGTCTGTCTGTCTGTCTGTAGGGGACGTGGGAGGATTGGAAGGATTTTATATGTAAAGAGTTAAAGGTAGGAAAACAGATTTTAGAGAGACAACCAAAAATGTCTCCAGACATTTGCTAAATATCCTTGTTGGTGGCGGGGGTGGGGGGAGGTATGCAGATAGTCGCCGCTTTAACTGTGTTCTCTCTAGAGTTGCCAAGGAATAGAAGGCTGCTGGAGCTATAGCTTCCTCAGTTCCTCTAATGCTGCTGCTGGAGTTTTTCTCCAAAACTTAGGAATGTTAGAAGTAGTATCATCATTCATTTTCATGGGAATACATTTACTTGATACATTTTGATTGTAGTCATACAGAACTGGAAGAGTGTTTTCTTGGTTGAGGAAATAAAAGTTCTAGGTAATCAAGTGACAGGATTGGTGGGAATTGGGCATGGTATTATTTCTGTTATATTTGACCCTAAAAGCTTCTGTTGTAGTAGTATTCTTAAGTTTTATGTGCATGCACTGTGATAGTTTACTGATGAGTTAATATCGTGCAACAGGTGTTTGCATTCTGCTGTGATAGCTCAGTCTATTTGTTCATTTTTCTGATAATATATGTGTAGTTTATAACACTAAATTTCATTTAAGTCTAAGAGCTTGTGTTGGGATATGAGTGAAGTTTTTTTGGCAGTGCCCAGTACCTTTTGTCATGGTGTAACATGTAGGAGTTGTGCACTGACAACTTGAAAACTGACTTGTAGACTTAAGCTTACTTCCTTCTTTGTGCTGTCTTGGTCTCTAGACTTGGAGGAAGCATGAATTGGAAAAAACAACACAATATTCATCAGGGAGGGTATCCTTTGGTAATACCATTATGTACCATGTACTTGAATCTTAAGATGTTTCTCTATTTGGAAATTGCTCTAATTCTTTAGTGACTGATTAGAGTATTGTAATGTAAGCTAGCGATTTTTTTATATATATAAATTTTATTACTGTGATTTTTCAAATTTTTCTTCTTTTGTAATCTTTTTGTGTAAGCAGAAGTACTTATTTCTGAGTTTAAAATATTTTTGTGGCTTTAAATTGGAAGAGGACCTGTTTTTAATAGAACTGATAATAGCAAGTAGATTTTTCTGACTTTGCTGCAGATGTAGGACTTCTATTTTCAGATAGCATTATCTATAACTTGATTTTTATAACAGTGATGTTTGTTAGCATTATTTAAAACATGAATTGATTTACTTATTGAATGCACAGTTCATCATAAATTCAGCCATCCCACAATGAGTTTATTTAATCCCTAGCACATAGAGCCCACTAATCAGCTGCTTGAGTATCCAGAAAAATCAGGCTGGTAAAGCTACTCTTCCTTTGCAGTTGAACCACTGTGGATAATTCAGTCACTTATTAGAACCTGTGGTCCATATTTTAAAAGAATGAACCATTTACGTTTTCTATTTTTAAAATATTTAAAAGTTTTTTATTTGAGTAAAAGGTTATAACTCCATATATTGATTTTTTTTTTTTTAATGTTTTGTTTGGACTACGGTGTGGTGCTAAAGAATCCCCAAAGACTTGTAGCCCACTTGAAATCTGAGTATAGATTAATATTTATAGCTGAGCTAAAATTCCTCTTCCAGTATTTGGATGTTTATATGCTAGAGCCAAAACTGCAGACTCTAACTGGTCTTGCAGTTTTATGAAAAGATAGAGGTACAAGTATGTTGGTAAATTAGCTGATGTTAAAGACAGGATTCTAACGTAATCTTTTTTCTTCCTCCTTCTGTCATTCCAACATCTCTTTTTTCGAACTGTGAACTAAAGTGGAAGACAAGCATTCCAGTGATGCCAGTAGTTTGCTCCCACAGAATATTTTGTCTCAGACAAGCAGACACAATGACAGAGACTACAGACTGCCAAGAGCAGAGACTCACAGTAGTTCTACGCCAGTACAGCACCCCATCAAACCAGTGGTTCATCCAACTGCTACCCCAAGCACTGTTCCTTCTAGTCCATTTACGCTACAGTCTGATCACCAGCCAAAGAAATCATTTGATGCTAATGGAGCATCTACTTTATCAAAACTGCCTACACCCACATCTTCTGTCCCTGCACAGAAAACAGAAAGAAAAGGTATGCCATTATTACTAGATGCTGCACGTTGAACTATAGTTTCTGATTATATTACATTATTTTCATTAGCTTAAATAAGACTTAATTATAAATTCTTTTTAAAAGTTTTTTAGAATGTTACTGCATAGATTTAGGTCTAGAGTTAGCCATATTTAGCTTTTTATTTTAATTTTTAATTATGAAGCCTCAGAACTGTTTTTTGCGTTTGACACTTTCAAGTCGAGTGCTTAATTTTAACAGTTAGTAATGGTTTAAATAACTTATCAAAGCCAAATGACTGTCCCTTCATATTTGTATGAAGTAATTTTTGGTTTTAGTGATAATTGTCTTGATGGTTTAGGTTAGAAATTGTTTCAGTTTTCTATTAATTAAAATTTAATATGAATAGAGACATTTTAAAACTTGTCATTTCTACATAACATGCAGCTACTGGTTTCAGTTTTTGAATTAGAAAACTGAGTTATGGGTCACAAGATAAAAAGTCTTAATGTCTGAAGAGAAGAAGTTAAACTTTGCAATCCAAATTGTGTTTATTCGACTCAGTGCTAATAACATGTTAAGCATGTTCAAAGAAGTTACAGAAAAATTGTGACAGCTACTTGGGAGGTGACACGTAATGGAAGTAGAGTGATGGGATAAGTGTATTTGCATAGACCTTTCACAATCCCAAAGTTACACTTTAATAGTATGTTTTAAGACACTAAAGAAATTAAAAGGCAGTAAGTAAATACATTGTGGGTAGACTCATTAGCAGACTAATTAGCAGATTGGCATCAGTAAATGTTAAGGAACTTTTAAGTGTCCTGTGTGTTTAGAAGATGCTCCTTGGACCTGATGAGTCTTTAAGCTTTTAATCTATTGTCTCATTAATTATTTCATGTTGATTTAATTTATTGACAAAGGGTTCAAATAATTGGGTTTCTTTTGCTTCTATTTTTCTCTCCTTTTATTTGAATTTCCCTTGTAAGAATTATTACACATTACTAAACCATACTTTTATCGTATGGTGCATGATACATTAAACATTAAACAAGTTCCAAATGTTGTCAGACTCCCCAAAGATGGTTTGTACAAAATTTGTATGTACAAGTTGTATTTACCCTGCTGCAGAATTAAAATACAAAGAGTATTCTTGGGAGATGAAATCCGAATTAATGTAGTAATTGTTAAGGTGGTAGTGCTTTCTAAAGGGTCTTATGGTTTTCAGTTCTTACAATGTTATTTTGATTCTTTAGTCTCAGAAAAATGTTTTAAAAATATCTGTCAGTTAAAAAAAACACCCTATGGCCTTTTAAAGGTCTTTATTTCGTTTCACCTCTTGTTCATGTCACACTTTTTAGCTCTGACCTCCCTTTTAAAAGCCTTTTCCTTCTCTGGTTTCTGGAATACTGCTACTCTTAGATTTTCTAGTTGTCTTTTCATCTTGCCCTTTAAATATCAGTAGGTTCAGTCTTTTACTATTTCTTCTTGCTCAACATGTCTTTTGCTGGTCAGTCATTCTTGTGACTACCTTGTCTGCATAAGTAACTCCCAAATCTTCATTCCTAATTCACACATACACCTGCTTCCCTTCTGTAAGCACTTGTTATGTCTCCTCAGAATACAGTATGTCCCAATCCCTTTTCCCACAGTTTATTCTTAGGTTCTCAGCACGTGACAGCACTATCCCCCTAGCTATTCTTTGCTCTTCTGCCTTCTTGCCCACCTACCCCATCCACCCATCGACAAATCTTAGATTCTTCCTTCTATATCTTATTTGTGTATATCCTTTCTCTTGTTCCTGCCACTGCTATTATTGAAACTCAGGTCCATCTCTCTTGAAATAAGCTTTTGATTACTGCTCTGCTTCCTTGTGCCCAGGCTATCCACTTATGGTGGCATCATTATAAAATTTAAATTAGATTGTGTCACTTCCTTGCTTAAAATTTTCTGATGGTTTTCCATTATCCAAAAGATAAAGTCCATACTTATATTTCTTAGTAAGATTATAGTAGGCACTTCACAACCTGGTTGCAGTCTGTCTTACTAGCTTGATCTCCAACATTCCATTCTTTCTTCCCTGTAATTCATCTGTTATAAAATTGTACATTTCTTAGGGCATGTTATGTTCTTTCATGTTGTGAGCCTTTGCTGAAAAGGACATGTTCTTTCCCACATTCCCATTCTCTTGAACTCAGTACTCTTTCTTTCAGAGCCAGTACTCTTTCTGTAAGTCCTTGGGTTCTCAGTGTCAGTTAACGTCTCCCAGTCTGTGTTTTCCAAACACTCGGTCTCTTATAGCACTTAGCGCATTGTAATTTTAGTTCCTTCCATTAGACTGTGTCCTGTTTAGGGTTAGATGTTATGTTTTACTTTATCTTGTTCTTTGTTCCCCCTCTTCCCTCTCCCTCCATGCTTCAAGCACCATTCTTGACAAACTTAATTAAAAAATAACTGCTTACTAGGTTTGATGCTAAGTGTTTATATACGTTTTCATTTATTTCCTTAAAACAGCACTTTGAGGGAAGGTATTATCTCTTAGAGATGAAGAGCCTGAACATTGCCACAGTTTAAACGCATGGTATTAGAGGCAGCTTCTCCAAAATCTGTGTTCTTTCCACAAAATTGTAGGTAGTGAAAGACACAACAGATTGGATTCTGGTTATTCAGAATTCCTGACAAGTCATAGGTGATTCAAGTGTAAATTCTGCAAAGTATGTTTGCTAATGACAAACTTTGTATGAAAATTTTATATATGATTTTAAACTTATAGGAAGAAATTCAGTTACCTTGGAATTGCCTATTTATATGGGGAAAATTTTACAGTATTTCCGAATATGTCTCTGGGCATGTAAATTGAAGACGATATTATTTCCTTAAGTAAATTGTACAACAATTTGGATCTTTTCAGATTGTTTTCCAGTTAGTCTAAATTTGTGAAGCATCCATTGATTTGAAATACATATATTTTTCTCAATGGAGACATCCACTTTATTTAAATTAAACTTACTGTTTACTCTTCTCATCAACATAGTGATTTGCTTGTTTGGATTTTCCTTAACAAATAATTTTAGTAAGAGGTTGATGGTTCAAATAAGATTGGTCTCTTGAGCTAATAGTATAGCAGAACTGTATCTAAGGATGTCAACAGTAGGATACGGTGTTAAATAATACAAGAGCAGGATCTTTGTTTTCTTAACCACTGCTCTATCCCTAGTGCTTAAAAAAGTAATAGTCATCAGTAAATATTTGTTGTAGATGGATGAATAACTGAAAGAAGGGTAGTGAGTATGTTGAGGGTTGGGAAAGCACCTGCATTGGTCATGGTTTAAAAATGTACTTGGAGAAAAAGAAGAATGTTATGTGTGTTGTGCATCTAATTAAAGGGTACCAGCAGTAGATTTAGATCTGTTTACTGCCAGTGTGTCTTTCAAGAAAAAGAACCTAACAAATCGAAGTATATGATTGCTTGAGGGACAGAAAGTGTGGAGAAGCTGTGAAGCTCTGGTTTTGCAGCGAACGATCCTGATGTTAGGTAGGGCAAAACAAGAGGGTCAGGTACCTCCTTTTAGATCTGTATCTGTTTGTGTTAGGGTAACATTTGAACTTCTCTGGGCAAGATTAGTTTATTGGACAACCATATAATAAAATAACAGAAACTCTGATGTGCAAAAATATCTAAAACGGATTTTTATTGTTGGTACCCCTTTGACCATTCTAAACTGGACCTAACTCCACCCTCCCTTTCAGATTTGTGAAATGACAAAATAGGCAAGAGATATGGGTGCTTGTTCTTTCCTTTGCCAAATAAATGCCAGAGTCAGAAGAGTTTAATGACCTTAATTAACAAGTTTCTTATTTAGTATTTTAGAGTTATGATTTATTAGCGTAGATAAGCTTGAAAAGTAAACAAAACCACATAAGCAGACCTATTCAGTGATGTTAAGCCAGCTCTCAGAAGATTAGCATGTCTAAATATTCACATAGTTATGCTGGTTCCATAGTCTTAATCTACTGGGAGGGAGATTAGTCATTCATTAATATGAGGTGTGAGTTTGTCACTTGGAATAAATTTCTCTTTTGTATTTTGATGGTATTTGTAGACTGGGTGAAATTTGAATGAACCTGAAGGCTTTTCAGTATGTGTTAAGGCAGTAGCTTTTTATAGCCAACAGAAGGTTAGTAACTGGCTGTGGTGGGCCTCATTCATCCCTCTGTTGCTTTACTTTAAAATAATTTTTAGGATTACTAAACATTCATGAAAAAAGAGAAGATTGGCCATAGATTGACTCGTTTTATTTAATGACTGAATACATTACTGAAGGAATTTAGTCTGGTCTAGTCAATAAACACCCATTACAATGACTGTTACAAAAACAACAGTGGAAAATAACAAGTGGTTTTGAGGACTTGGAGAAGTTGGAGCCCTTGTGCATTGCTGGTAGGAGTGTAGAATGGCAGCTGCTGTGGAGTATGGTTTGGCAGTCCCTCAATAATTGAAATATAGAATTAGCATAGGATCCAGCAGTTACACACCTAGGTATGTAACCAAAAGAATCGAAAGCCAGGGAATCAAACAAGTATTTATATTTCTACAGCAGTGTTTATAGCAGCATTATTCACCATAGCCAAAAGGTGGAAACAATCCAGGTGTCCATCAACAGATAAAGAATAAAATGTGGTATATATACACGCAATATTACCCAGCCTTAAAGAGGAATGAAATTCTGATACATACTGCAACATGAATGAACCTTGAAAACCTTATCTAAGTTAAATAAGCCAGACACAAAAGGGCAAATACTGTATGATTCCACTTACGTGAGGTACCCCAGCATGGGCAGATTCATAGAGAAAGTTGAATAGTAGTTACTGGGAAGATGGGGAGCTATTGTTTAACTGGGTGGAGAGTTTCTGTTTGGAAGGATGAAAAAATTCTGGAGGTGGGTAGTGGTGATAGTTGCACAACAATGTGAATATACTTAATGCCACTGAATTGTAAGCCTAGAAATGGTTAAAAC